AYWTAYRKAYAYKTATGTAYRTGTRTGTSTGTRTRTATATATATATATAWATAATTTTGCTATATGTGTATATAGATATTGCCGGCCAACTCCATAGCTTCCATTTAAGCAACCACCCATCAATGGTGCCTCCTCCACCACTCCTCACATTGGGATGGATGTATCTGGGTTTGGTATTTTCATTTGTTGAGGGTTTTTCTGTCCTTATCCAGGAGCAGGAGGGGTGGAGGATGGATTCCCTGGATCACATGCTCACAGACCCCCTGGAGCTGGAGGGCAAYGGCACACGGATCATGGAGGACTGCATGCTGGGCACCACCAGAGTCAGTCTGCCCGAGGACCTCCTGGAGGATGTGAGAGACACTCCACTTTATCATAACCTCTATATAAACAACTTTTTTTACTCCCTTTTTGGACTTACAGAGCAATCTGAAAAGGGGAGGTGTTTCTGATTGCCTTGGAAAAGGTGTCAAGAAGGTATTTGATTAATCTCAGGACAACATATTTAAATCAATTCTGTTATATTCTTATTATTTTAAAATTGCCTTTAAGAAGATTGGTACAAGCTTTGAATTTATTTTCTTTGTTTATTTATTTGTTATTAATGTCAATTTCCTCACCTTTCCTCTTTATGCTCTGTTGTTTCCTGTGTTTCATGAAACACTGTCTCATGAYTGGTGTTAGTTAAAGAGCATCAAGGGCTAGAAAATGGTCAAGAACATGGCTGCATTTTCTTCAATATTGTTTCTTGTTTCTTTAGCCTGAGATCTTCTTTGAGGTTGTCAGCTTGTCAACATGGCAGGAGGTCCTGACAGATGARCAGCAAGAGCATCTAAAAAAATTCTTGCCTCACTTCCCTGAGAACAACCGAGAGCAACAGAACAGTCTCATCTTGGCACTGTTCRGTGGGGAGAACTTTCGGTTTGGGAACCCACTGCACATCGCCCAGAAACTCTTCCGTGGTCAGTCCTCATGAGGTTCTCTGCAGGTTTGGGGCAAGTTCTCAGCTAGCAGCTGAAAACCCTGGTCTGTGTTATGTCTTTGTTCCAGATGGACACTTCAATCCCGAGGTGGTGAAGTATCGRCAGCTCTGTTACAAGTCGCAGTACAAGCGCTACCTGAATGCCCAGCAGCAGTATTTCTACAGGCTGCTCAAGCAGATCCTCACTTCCCGCAATGTGAGTGCACTTTGGGACAAATAGCTTGTCTTTTTTGAAGTGTCTAGATGCAGTCATGGTTTTCTGAGGCCTTTCCTTTAATTAATTGAATGAGTAGTGTTTCTGGTTTTTCCAGTGTCCCACAGAGAACACCAGACCTGTTGTTATATTTGCAGATTTCAGGTTGCATAACTCATAGCCCTCACTTGGGTGTACTGTCATTTTTTCATGTCCACCTTGTCCCCATTTCCTGCATTTGACACTTTACAACTTACTGTCTTGGTAACAAGTCATTCTGCCTTTGTTTACCATTTCTGAAGGAAGTCTRTTTGCTAAATACAGCTAGAAAATACGTGGATCCAAGCCTCTAATTCTCATGCCTGCAAATCCCTGATAAAGTCTTCCTCTATGGATACTTCTGTGAGCAAATTGTTGCCAGCTGAAGTGTTGGCATTCATGGCAACATGAAGTGTTGCTTGTGTATCTTTATTACAGCAGTCATTGAAACATATGGGATGAAGAAGAAAGTCTGTCTTTCTAAAATGCACTACAGTGCTATGGGAAATAGAAAATCCCAGGATGGTTTGGGTTGGAAGAAACCTTATACCTCATCTCATTCCAATCCACTGCGATGGGCAAGGACACCTTTCACTAGACCAGGTTGCTTCTGGCCTTGAACACTTGCAGGGATGGGACATSCTCAACTTCACTARGCAACAATATGGTGTACATAGGAAATTATTTCCTCTGTAGCCAAAAGAGGTAAAATGCTTTTTCAAAAGAGACAGTATTCCATGTCATTGTTACATATTTGCAGGGAAACTGCATCTCACACCAATGATTCAAGTTCTTCTCAACAGTCCACATAAAATGACAGATACTATTATGTGTGCAGAAGAAGGTGCAGAAATTTCACCTGGTATTTTTTCTCGCCTTTAAATGATGGTCTAAAATGCTAGGTTTAAAACCTTGTGTGTAGCAGATACTCATTGTTCCTAAGGTTTTGTCTTGGTTTGACAGACAGGTGTTTGCCAATGAAGGCAGGGACCCCTCTTCCCTCCGAATTACTATAGCCTTGAAAAAACCATGGGCTTTCAGGCAAGAATAGGGGTAAAAGGGAATAACAGTTTTTACTAATACGCATAACAAGGTGAAACAAGTAACAATAACAATAGCAACAACCAGCCTAGTCCCAAACCCAGTGACTGCCTTACAGAGACACACCCACCCCCTTGGTGCAGTTACAGTCCCGTTGGCAGGGACGCTGTTGGCTCTCAGCCGGGCAGGGCGGGTGCGGCGATTCCCCGGAGGCTGCAGAAGACGCTGTGGCGCGGGTCCCGGCTGGCTCAGATCTCCCGCGGCACCAGTGATTGACACAAAATGGCAGAGGTGGATGGAGAAAAGTTTCTCTGCAAAACTCACAGCGGAAACGCCGATCTCGGTGCTCGTCTGGACAGCAAGAAACCCAGCACGGCAAAGAGACCAGCAGAAATCACGCAGCTGCGAGACGGGATGGAGCAGAGCTCACCCCTGAAGCTGGAATCCCCGGCAAGGCACAAGAGAGAAAAAACCACRGTGCAGCAAGCAGGAACCCAATGAGCAGGGGTGCTGGTCTCTGCAGAAAAAGGGCAGGCCAGCTTTCTCCGGAGCAGCCAGCGAGCAGACCTCCTTCTCTCAGTGAAGCAGTGAAACAACTGCAAATCCCCCACCACCACACAAAAACACTCTCTCCCAGCACTTGGCAAGACTGTTAAGGTGGGGCATAGGTATCATTGTCTTCATTAATCACCCAGCCATCAAAAGGATGACCTGGCGATTAGTGTATCCCAGCAACAAATGGGAAAGAAAAAATTCCCAAAGAAAGGGAACAAAAGGAGAAGAATTTTAACCCACAACAGGTTTCCCTTGTACAGATCTGAGATGCTGATGGCACCACGTGGTAACCTTGCTGGAAGTATCTGAGCTGGGCTAACCTGTCCTGGCTTACAGCACTGTATCTGACATAGTTAATGTYACATGAATCTCTCCTTTCAGCACTTGCTGGAATTAGCCAGGAAGGGAGGCCCTGACATGACCCTAAAGAGAAAGCACTTCCYGCCAACATAYGACTCAGAAGAAAGAGACAGACGRACACATCGGCGCTACTTGAAAATACTGAGGGAAGTGAAAGAGGAGTGTGGAGACACTACCTTGTCTTCTGATGAAGAAGGTAATGTCCTGGGCTGAACTAGACTCCAGGCATAAATGGAAAAAGACACATTTCTGATGTGGGGACAGAGCCTTTGATAAAAGATTGGATTCTGGGCTCCACTTTCACTGGCTGGTATCTAATGAACATGGGTTAATAATTACATAGACTGGTGCTGGGTCTTGCAGAAGTAAATTTATATCTCTGTTCTAGATCTAATCTCTTGGCCTCCAAGTTCTCCAGCACGRTGTTCAAGTCCACCAGTTCCCCTGAGAGTGATCCCCACATTGTCAACCTTGGACATGAAAACTGCAGGTGAGAGCCAAGCAAGGGGTCAGTATGGATAGAGGGGGGAGAATTACCCTGAGACCCTGTCAGAAATCACCTTGAAAATCTGTTGTTTGATGGGAAATCCTGTAATGCTTCATTTTTGCAATCTCCACAAATTGGCTCTTTTCCCAGTTTATTTAATCTGAAAAGATTCTTCTTGCAAGGCCAAGAATCATAGTTTCTGTAATACTACTGATTTCTCTGTTGTATTTTRCCTTTAGTGGTTGAAGCAGTAGCACAGTCCAGTTCAAAATAGTTGAGAATCCCCCCTAAAGTGACTGTAATCAAGTCTGCAAACCCTTCAGGCTGGTTCTAGCTTCTTTTCTCTTCTATGGTTGCATCAGCAATGAAATCTGATGACCCAGTGAAGCTTTGGAATGAATGAATGAATGAATGAATGAATGAATGAATGAATGAATGAATGAATGAATGAAATTTATATATGGAGAAATTAGTTACTGAAATTTGGAGATTGCTGGAAGTGTAAATGGATTGAAAATGGCATTCTACGAAGTGTGAAAAGTAACCATAGTGGAAAACTCTGCAAATAATGCTTTTCATTGCAGACAAGATAGAACTTGGGGAAAGTGATTTGAAGATGATGTTGAAGAAGCACCGTGAGAAACGGAAACGTCATCCCGTAAGATGTCAAAAAGTCTTGGGGGTTGGGATCACATTTTATCTTTGACGTTTTTATCTCTTTGCCATAAAGATCAGGGTACTTCTGGATGACAAAATAATTGCTATTTTTTGTGTGCAGCCCTTTATTGTAGCCTGAGTTCAGTTGTCAGTGTATAGATGCAGCTCCTGGCCATGCTTATCTGGTTAGAAGGATTTTGTCATTTTATTTACATGTTTTGGGGAGACAATTTTTTTTTTTATTTTAGGGTTAGAAGACGTTCCAAATTTTATTGCAGTAAATAATTTAATAAGCTGATCCTGGTTGAGTTTGGTGCATTTTACTGCTTGGGTACTTGTTTGCCTTGTTGCTGTTCTAACACTTTGTCCTTTCTCAGTTTAATTTCTGTCCCATTGTCCTGTGTAGGATCACCCTGATCTAGTCACAACAGACCTGACCCTTGAGGACATCATGACTCGAGTRAATGCTGGCCGGAAAGGTTCCTTAGCAGGTCAGTGGATCCTTTGCCTTTTTAATTTCATATGTGTTGGTTTAAATACTGGGGATTTTCTCTTGAGGGGAAAAGTAAAGATTTATGACAGCAGCTGGTAAGGTGGAATGATTGAGGTGTGAACAAGTGCACACAACACACATTTCTAGATACATACTTAAATAGTTTATGACACATTAAAATATAGTAAGAAGCTGTCTAATTATTCTTTTTACTTCATAATTTCTAAAGCCTTATTTGACCTTGCRACCCTCAAGAAAAAGGTGAAGGAAAAGGAAGATAAAAAAAAAAAGAAGCTGAAGATTATTAAATCCGAGGTGGAAGATTTGGCTGACTCTCTCGGCAATGCAGATGGACTCCCATCAATGTCTCAGGATCTTTCCCCCCTCCCCCTSTCATCTGTCAAAGAGGAGTAAGTGCTTCAGAGGGTCCTGAACACCTCACATGGTGGGAAAAAGCAACATGTTTCAGAACACATTTTTGTGGGACTGTTGCAGGCTGTTTTTTTGTGCCAGTTTGGGATGTRTGAAATGTGTGGTGTTCATCTTTGTGTGTGGAGGTGGATAGTCACTCAGGGAGCTTACTCTGCTTGTGTTCTCTTTTATTTGAAGACCTCTTGAAGATATGAAGCCATGTCTTGAAATAAATGAAATATCATCCAGCTTCTTTTTCCTTCTTCTGGAGATACTGTTCCTGGAAGGACCTGCTACTCTCTCTGTGGTAAGGAACCACCCATTTATCTAGGAATCTTTGCASGAAGCAAAATTAAAGAATAGAGGGGCTTATAGCTTTGTAGTAGTGATTTTTCTCTAGTCTTCCTCTGCTGTAAATTAGAATAAGATCTAGATTACATATTAAAGAAATTAAACCTTTTGGGAATGCTACCATAATCTGGTTTTAACATGTTTCATTAATCAGTTGCATCTGTAAGTCTTTCYATACCCATTCTAGAGATCATTAGATCTCTAGATAGATATATAAGCTATACTAGAGATATTAGGTATATTAAAATATTATATATTTTGTATACTGAGGGCAGAGATGGGGAAGTTTTTTCCCCTTCTTTGGTGCTGTTGTCTGAAATGCCATATTTGGGTTACTTGAAATACTCGGGTGATGATTTTACATACATAAAAACCTTTTTGTCCCCTGCATGTGTTTAGCTGRTTTGTTTTCTGTGAAGACAGACATAGTTTAAAGTGTGAGATCATTAATTAAAAAACTATATTTGCTCTTCAGCTTGAAGATAAAGTTCTCGATTGGCAATCTTCTCATGCCAGTGCACTAAACAGCTGGTTCTCCTTTGCTCCTAACTGGTCTGAATTGGTTTTACCTGCCTTGCAGTATTTGGCAGGTGACAGCAGAGGTAAGAAGAGATGTTAAAAATACTAATGGTGCTTGTTCCTCTGTTCTAGTCAGTGCTGGTTTACCTTATAGCTCAAATCAACTTTTCGTTTGTTGCCACAATAAATCCTTKTATTGCTGACAGCGTTTCTGTGATAGGCTGTTTGGCTGACATGTCTTGGTTGTGGTCGACGTGTTTTGCATGTGGATAGAAGTTAAGACCCTTTATGATTTCCAAGTATGTGAAAATGTCAAATTGCTTCTAGACAGACAGTTTCTCAYGTCCAGGTCGTGGCTTCAGGCATCATGTTTGAAGCAGGAAGGGATTCGTCTCTTCCTCCACAGTGTGAAGTCATTGTAGTTGTCTTTGGAGATAATAAAAAATAATCTATAATCTAAAAAACCTCTAATCCAATATGAGGTTGGCCCTGCTTGGGCCTTGGGCTTGGACCTTGGGTTTGGACCAGCTGAGTTTCAGTAATTCCTTTCAAACTAAATTATTCKGTGGTTCTCATTTACCTAGTGGGAGGTTTTAAAGGCAGAGACAGAGTAGACTGTGGTGGCCTTGCAGCATATTCTCCATGATGCTGGTGAATACTGTAAATCCTAAATTCTCTTCCCACGAGCCCATAAATATTCATTGTACAACAACAGTCCTTGGGGGCTCATTAATGAAACATTTCTTTTTCTGTTCAGCTTGAAGAAAAAGTTCTCAACTGCCAATTTTCTCATCCCACTGCACTAAATGACTGGTTCTCCTTTGCCCCTAACTGGTCTGAATGTGGTGAACAGCAGGAACAGGCTCTCAGTTGACAGCCTGTTGTTGGAAGGCTCATTATCCTGCTCTGTTACTTCCTTGTGCTTGCCCTTATATTCTGAGATGCTCACCTTCCCTTTGGGCAAGGATAAATTTAGAGATGCACTTACATAATTATTTAAAATGCTCTGTCACTGTGAATATTTAACTGGACAGTTTGCATTACCACAGTAGGATTTTGAGGTTGGACAATTGTATAATGTCACTGACATACACATTTGTCATTGTAGATGCTCCTTCCAGCTTCTCAGCTTTTGTTGAATTCAAGGAAAAAACTCAGCAGTGGAAATTGCTTGGTGAGTACCTTGTGTTCTTCTATAATTGTACTATAATTAAGGTTGGTTGTTTTCTCCAGAGCTTTACCTTCATCTTGTTGCAGCCTGGAGAGAAACACAAACAGAGCTGTTAGTTCCATGGTTAGRCATTTTCTTTTCTTTTAGCTGAGCTAATGTGTTTTGGATTCAAGGTGTTCACAAGACATCAGTATCAGCAGTAGACAGAACATAAACGACCAAAGGCACTGGGCTGTATTTCTCTGTTGCTGACTTCAAATCTGTCTGAACACCTTCATATTTTCCCTTCTGTAGAGCATACCTTCTTATAATTCAGAGTAATTTGTGATTATTACAATTGCAAATCAATTAAGCTTTTCTGTGGAGTAAACTGATGCTATTCTCATTTTTAAAAGTGAGAGCCAAAGAGCAAATTGATGATTAATGTGCTCAGGCTCATACTGACTGAATTACAGATGGTTTGTGTTTATGTTTATTCCTTTAGTTACTACCCGGAATTTTTCATTCTTAACTATGGTGATTCTAGTGATCATATTTGCAGGCTTAAACTGGCAGAGATTTGAAATCAGGAAGCTTTTCCTCGGATYCCTTTCACAGTTTTTGGTGGAGGTTATGTAGACCTGTGTTTCTGCTCATGGATTCAGTAACTGGGATTACTTTGGAGAGTGGGAACAGGTGACTGTGCCCCAAACAGCATCTTGCCTTCTGTGCTAGGAGTTGAAGTACCATCCTTTGTACCAACACAGGGCAATCACTGGGATTTAGCATTTCCAAAGCTTGGAGGTGTTCAAATATTGCAGCTTGAGCATCTGTGACTGGTGATGCATCGAGGAGGGAAGGGAAGGGAGCAAGAGAGGACTTGGAATTAAAAGCAGATGGCTTCCTAACAATGAAAATACTTCTAATTTTAAATTGTCCTGATTTCTTAGTAGGTACTTACCAAGATCATGAGAAGGAATTGGCAGCACTGTTTCATCTCTGGTTGGAGACCAAAGACCAGACTTTTTTCAAAGTGAGTCAGACAAAAAYGGCCTTCTAGGAGCAGAAAACCTGAGTGTTCTACCCAGCACTGACATTTCTCTCTCTCTCAATAGGAAAATGATGACAGCTCGGATGCCATGCCACTGCCCAGAGTGTAAGTGTGTAACACTGCTTGAAAGCCTTTGTAGTGCTGTGGAAGCTATGAGGTTTGGAACCTTGTGCCTCTGGATCCTAAAATAAAAGCAATTTAAGTTTGCATGTTATCAGAACAAAGCTGCAGTCTAATTTAGGTTCTGATAATAAGATTATTTACAGTCTTTATTTGCCTTCAGGTAGTGCACAGAGTATCTTTCAAGGTCTCTRCAGGGCTTATTTTTGTTATTATAAATGCTTTCAGAATTTGTTTAGAAGAATTTGCAGAAAGATGAGGGGATTAATCCTTTGGGACTGTTGTGGGCTTGTGCTCAGAACTGATGGTGCCCTTTGTTTCAGAAGGACCGACTATGTAGTACGGCCTAGCACTGGAGAGGAGAAACGGGTGTTTCAAGAGCAGGTAAGAAGAGAATCCTAATTTTAAAGGCACATGCTGAAACAGTTGGCCACTAAACCAGGACAATTTGTGAGGAATGGCAGTTTTATACCCTACACAAATGTAGTTAATGTGAAGAACTGATATGTGCCTTGAAGTTGGCATCTTGACCCTCCATAAAACTTGCTGATGACATAGCCTAGCTGCTTGCTTCAAAACGACCAGTATTTCCAGTGAGTAAAATAAATTGAGTAAAAATTAATTGGATAAAATTAACTGAAATTGATAATGTCAGTTGGTACTGCCAGCCCCGCTGTCTCCTTTGCCATCCCCCAGCATCAGAGGATGATTTTKTGGGCTTGTATGTGTGCAAGCAGAAAATAAGTGTCAATAAGTGTTCCTTTCCACTTAGTTATCTTGTCTGTAGTAGATGCAAGTAGGAATTAGAGGGAGGACACATGATGGGGATTCTTCTCCCTTCTCTCCATGTGCTGTCTGCAGGACAGAATATATAGGTTAAATTTTGGAAATCTCTCTTTAGCCAGATAAAGGGAGGAGGAGTAAGGGGACAGAAGATTCATGTCTTGTATTTCTGGCACCTCTGTAGTCTCTGCAGCTGCTTGATAGTGAATGCATTGCACCTGCACACCTTGCTTAGGTGGAGCATTGTATTTTGCATGAAGTAGTTTGTGATTTTCTTGATCCAAAATAAGTTTATACAGCAGTATTTGAGCTTTTAGTTTGAAAAGGCTTTCCCTAGACAATGATGACAATTTACCTTGTAGTGTAGCATAAGGTTTTGCTGTATGTTTCCTGGTCAAGTCAGTGCTCTGTGTCCACCTCCAGGAACGTTACCGTTACAGCCAGCCCCACAAAGCCTTCACCTTCCGGATGCACGGCTTCGAGTCGGTTGTTGGTCCTGTGAAGGGGGTGTTTGACAAGGAAACCTCCTTAAACAAAGCCCGGGAACATTCTCTCCTGCGCTCAGACAGACCAGCATATGTCACCATTTTGTCCCTTGGTAAGGTCATAGCCAAAAAAACTTTTTTAAACAAGAAAAACATTCCTCTGTCTCCTTAAACAGCTTCAGGAATCTACACTGGGGTTGAATGCTGTTACCCAAGTTCATCACTYCTAGCACAAAGTTTGCACAGTTGATGTACTTTAAAATGATCTTTTATGACCTCTCCTCATATTTTTGAGAGATTTTAGGGACTAGATTTTACTGAGCAAAYAGGCACTGTGAGAGCAAGGGCAATAGAGCAGTCCCATAATGTATCTGCTGGAGTACCTGAGTACAGCATCCCAGTTACAGCTRGAGGTTCAAGCTCTGGTTTTGTGTTTCAGTTCGTGATGCTGCTGCTCGCCTTCCTAATGGAGAGGGAACTCGAGCTGAAATCTGTGAGCTGCTCAAAGATTCCCAGTTCCTAGCTCCAGATGTCACCAGTGCTCAGGTAAATTAGATGTTATGTCTGGCCTCAGATTCTCATAAAAATAAAACGCACAAAYACAGGCAGTATTAAGTGGCAAAGGCCCAATAGTTTTTAAGCTRCTGTTATGAGCAAAAAGGAAGTCTGTTGCTACTATGGTGAGCTGCTGCAAATTGGACCAACTTTGGATGAGGAAAAAACAGTTAGAAAAGCCACAGAATTACCACTGTTGCAGAGCTGCTTGCATTTTAGATTGAGAAACAGTCAAGTTCCATTTAATCCAAGATGGCAAACAGCATCCTGTGCAGCAACATCTGCTCTCAGTCACTTCTCACTCAGATGAAGACTGCTCACAGCTTACACAGGTTTTATACCAAGTAGGATCACTTTTCTATTCATCAGTTTTGGCTACTCCAGAGAGRGATGCCTTGTAATCTGTGAATTCTRAACYTCAGGTTAACACTGTTGTTAGTGGTGCTCTGGACCGATTGCATTATGAGAAAGATCCCTGTGTGAAATACGATATTGGGCGGAAGTTGTGGATCTACCTGCACCGGGACAGGAGTGAGGAAGAGTTTGGTAAGCCTGAGTTGGTGATATCTTAATAATTMAAAWTGTTTATAAATATGGATAATGAACATTAATTTGTCACTAATTTTCTAGTCAGTTTGCTCATGTTAGTCCTTCAGCACTTAAACCCAGTCTTACAGAGCAGTGTGTCACTTTGAAGCATTTGTTTGAAAAATACCGTCCCACGTGCAAGAACTGCAGATGTATGCTCTCACGTGTCTTATTTTTTGGCTAATTTTACTTGATGTTYTTCTTTGCACTGTTACATGACTGTGTGTGTTTAATTCCTTGTCTGGAGAAGAATCTGCAGCTTTTAATTAGCCTTTTCCTTAAATCAGTTTGCTYGCGTTCAGGCACTCTAACCATTAATTTGTCCTTGCAGAACGGATCCATCATGCTCAAGCTGCTGCAGCAAAGGCCAAGAAAGCTCTTCAGAARCCAAAACCTCCAGCTAAAATGGTAGATTTCTTTGCTCAGGTTTGCACAGCTGCTTTTGGGATTGACAAAATTAGTCTTAATTTAATCCATAAATTCCACATCTGTAGCAGGTGATGAAAATTACCACATTTGAGTTAGCAATTCATGATGTGTATGAATGTCAGTGCACAAAACAAAGAGGGAGAGGGAGCTTTTCCTCCACCCAGCTCCCACTGCTATCCTTATCTCAGCAGAAAGAGCAATGGAATTCCTTTGTGCTCCCTATCAAAGGGATGGTCTTTCAGATCTAGTTTTGAGGTTAATATCTAACCAGAGTGTGTAGAACACGTCTGTTCTCCCCCTTGCTGTGCAGGAGCCATCAGGGTTTGGTTGTCTGAGACTAAATATGTCTGAAGTACTTGGCTGTTGGCACATTAACCAAGGTGGAAATCTGCATGTTCTGAATGCACAGCTGAGGTGCCCTTTATCTTGAGAGCAGGGGCAGCCAAAYACACCAATTCATCTATGGCTGCAGCTGGGGAAAGGCAGACACTCAGTCAAGTTTTATTACAGGATTTAGCACTGGGACCTCATTAGGACCATTCAGGTTAAAGTGCTCAGCCTACTGTAGGGTGCAGCAATCAACCCCAGTTTTTGTGATGCTGGATGTGGTTTCCTTATAGAAGTCGAGTAGCAAGGAGGGTGCTGTGAAAGCCATCCCCACMAGCACAGCAGAGCCCAGTCAGCTGAGCCTCAGTGACTCCAGCATGCCACCAACTCCTGTGACTCCTGTGACACCAACTGCACCTGCATTACCAGCAACACCCATCTCACCCCCACCGGTCTCTGCGGTCAGCAAGAGTGTATCTGGTGCTGGGTCAGAGCCAGCAAAACCCAGCCAGAGGTACTCTTTCTGTGCCCTGTGTCACTTGGGAATCCTGCTGGCTGTTTTTCTGTAATCTGTTTAATTCAGTAATGAGGGAGTTGGRRTTATTTAGTCTGGAGGARGCTTGGGGGTGACCTTATCACTCTCTACAACTCCCTRAAAGGAGGTTGGAGGCTGGTGGGAGTTGGACTCTTCACCCAGGAAACAGCAACAGGACAAGAGGGCATAGTCTCAGGCTGTGCCAGGGGAGGTTCAGGTTGGGCATCAGGAGAAATCTCTTCATAGAAAGCATGATTAGCCATTGAAAGAGGTTGCCCAGGGAGGTGGTGGAATCCCCATCCCTGGAGGTGTCCAAGGRGCCACTGAACATGGTACTCAGTGCTCTGGGCTGGGTGACAAGGTGGGGATTGGTCACAGGTTGGATTCAATAATCTCAGAAGTTTTTTTACAACCTCGATGATTCTGTGATTGTGTGAAATTCCTACATCTTTGCTGACCTACTGGCTATGTCTTTTCTGTAGTGTTCTCCTGGTGTCCTCCCCCACCATGCCCCAACTGGGGACCTTGCTGTCCTCAGCTCACACCTCACAGGCACAGTCGGGGCCGGCGCCCACCCCACGTGTGGTCAGTCACAGCAGCTCCTCAGGCCTGCCACAGGTCCGGGTGGTCACTGCCCAATCCAGCCTCCCAGCCATGTCCCAGCAAGCCCCAGTGGTCACCCAGCAGCAGCAGCAGCAGCAACAGCAGCAGCAGCAGCAACAGCAACAACAGCAGCAGCAGCAGCCCACATCAGTGCCTCAAATCCGTGTTCCAGCTACAGCCACACAAACCAAAGTGCTCCCTCAGGTGAGTTGGAAGTGGTAGAGTAGCTCTGACGTCTGATCTGACTTGTGTTGTTTTGGTGTGATATGCWGGCATTCTGTGCTCATTTGGAGCTTGCAAGGGCACAGAAACAGTTTTACATATGCAATACAGTTGAGTGCTCTGTGCTTCACCTGTTTATCTGGCATCATTAAATTGTGCATTRCATAGAAAGTCCATAGAACTTAGAATCACAGAATTGTTAAGCTTTGAAAAGATTGTCAAGATCATAAAGTCCAGCCACGAACACAGCAGCACCACCATGTTTATTACTAAACSATATCCTTAAGTGCATCATCCACACATCTTTTTGAACACTTTGAGGGATGTTGACTCTGCCAGTGCCCTGGGCAGCCTGTTCCSATGCTATATAACCCTTTATGTGAAAAAGAAAATTCCTAATATCCAAGTTAACCTCCTTGATGCAACTTGAGGCCAATTCCTCTTGTCCTGTCATTTGTTACCTGAAAGAAGAGACTGACACCCACCTCACTACTATTCCAAGCAGGTGGAATTCTTGCAAGGGAATTCTTGTGAACTACTTTGAACTCACAAGCTGAGGCACAATACAAAGAAGAATCACTAGACTGTTCCTACTGTGATAGTCTTCTCATAGTTTTCCTCCATCTCTTCTGTAGGCTGTGATGACTCTGCCTATAAAAGCTCAAAGCAGCCCTGTGCAGGTGCCAAGAGCAGGAAGTTCCATGGCCAGCCAGGCAGGTATCACTGTCTCAGGGCTGTCTGCAGTGCCCAGCACTGCTGTGAAGCCAGTGACCAGTTCTCCAGGCAGTTCTGCTTCCAGCACCTCCTCCACCACTGTTATTCAGAATGTGGCTGGCCAGAACATCATCAAGCAGGTGAGAGGGAGGGAGAGACAAGGAACTGGGATCCACTACCTGGTTGTTTCCTGTTTGTGTTGATGTGAACACTTGTGAGTTGTAATGCTGTGTGAGTTGATGGACTGTGCAGGTTCACAGTGCTGGTTTTGTGTGTTTGAGCCCTGGTTTCACAAACAGGTGAAAGATGTGTTTGTGCACATTGYTTAGTGATCTCTCCCTCATTTCGTTTGGAAGAGAAACCAGCCCCACAGTATTTCCTATTTCAAATGGGGTTGGGAATGCCATCTGATATACAACCACTATTTTCAGTCAGGTACTGAATGATAGTCTCTGCTTGCATTCTGGTGGGAGCAAACATCATCCTGTTGGGAAGTTCTTCTTTGAAGGTGTCTTGGACTTTGACCTGGTTTGACAGAACCATTTCTCTGATCACTCCCAGGTGGCTATAACAGGACAACTTGGTATGAAGACTCAGGCTGGAAGTGGCATCCCACTCACAGCGACCAATTTTCGGATCCAAGGGAAGGATGTGTTGCGCCTGCCCCCATCCTCCATCACCACAGATGCAAAAGGACAGACGGTGCTACGCATCACCCCAGACATGATGGCCACCCTGGCCAAGTCTCAAGTCACTACTGTCAAACTGACTCAGGACCTCTTCACAGCAGCTGCAGGAAGCAGCACTGGTGGGAAGGGCATCTCTGCGACTTTACATGTGACATCCAACCCTGTCCAGACTGCTGAATCTCCAGCMAAGACCAGCACGGCCTCTCCTGCCTCTTCCAGCCCAGCTGGAGGCACCGTGGTTAAAGTGACTCCTGATTTAAAGAGTGCAGAGCCAACAAGCTCTGCTTTCCGCCTGATGCCTGCCCTGGGCATGACTGTGGCAGATCAGAAGAGCAAAGCCATAACCACGGTGGCATCCACGGAGACCAAGCCGGCTACCACGATYAGAATTGTGCAGGGGCTGGGGGTGATACCCCCCAAAGCTGGGCAGACCATCACTGTAGCCACTCACACTAAGCAGGTGCCATCATCCTCAGCAGTGASCGTTGCTGGCACAGCCCACACCTCCTTACCCACCGTCAGTGCCACGATGTCCAAAGCAGTTGCTGTGGCCTCAGCAGCTGCAGGGACCCCCATTACCATCAGCACAGGAGCCACGGCTGTGCGGCAGGTGCCTGTCAGCACCACTGTGGTGTCTACATCCCAGGCAGTAAGTAATGCTGAGCATTGGGGGAGGAAGTGGGGTGCCAAAATACACTGATGGTTTATGGCTGAAAGSTTCTTTTGCATCCACAGAGTCAAAAAAATATGACAGAGTCATGCAATGCTTTAGGTTGTGAAGGACAATAAAGCTCATTCAGTCCTACCCTCTGCARYGGGCAGGGACACMTTCCAMTAGATCATGTTCCAGGCTTCATCCAACCTGGCCTTGAACAMTTCCAGGGATGGGGCAGCCACAACTTGTCTTCTGGGTTTGGGTTTCATTGATGCAACTCATTTATGCAGCATTTATGCAACTCATTTAATGGTGTTCAAATTGCGGCTAAATGCCCCCCAAAAGTCAGATAATTCCCTTATCTCCTCTTGCAAGTGAATGAAATAAACTTGACATATCTGAAGTCCTGCCTCATTCAGCTCAAGTGTCTTGCCCCACACCTTGGGAATAATTTCCCTTGCAATAGTGTCATAGAACATTCAAAACTAGTTACTTGTATTAACTTTTTTACTGATTTCTGCCTTTAATGCTATTTTAATGCCCAAATCTGAAGGCACCATAAACTGTATATGGTTACATAAGCTAATTGACACTATGGTAGTTTCCTAAGGATAAAAATCATGGATCCTGTGGTGCAAAGATGATGTGGGTTTTCAGGGTACAGGCAGCTATGTAGTGAATGAGAGGGAGGTGAATTTTAAGGAGCCTGAACTGTAGTAGAGATTTCATCAGCAAAACTGCTGCTGGTTTTTGCTCCCAGAACTCCCAGAAAGTAGCCAGTGTTGTCAGGCAGTTTCTCTACTGAGCTCCCCATGGCTCCTCACATGTTCTTCCTATTCCCCAGGGCAAACTTCCAGCACGGATCACAGTGCCCCTGTCAGTGATCAGCCAGCCAGTGAAGGGCAAGAGTGTGGTCACTGCCCCCATCATCAAAGGCAACCTCGGCGCCAAGTGAGTACTTTGCATCTCATAGTTCTGCTTTAGAAATAGGCTGAGGAAGGTCTGTGTTCAYTCAGTTCCTGGGGAGCAAGCTAGCAGAGGCTGGAATAGGATTGCAGCCTGTAAACAGGTCCATCAGCTGCAAGAAACTGAGTGGATATGGTGTCTGAAATGAGATTGTAATTTTTATTTRTTTTGAAACACAGGTTCTAGCAAATACACCAAAGAAAAAACATGCTGTGCCTTGAAACCAGCTGTTCATTTAGTTCTGTGTGTTTGAGCAAGAATTAAGACACTGAAATATAACTGTAATCTGAAGCCATCTCTCCATTCAGTRGAAGTTAACTGCCTTAATGAGAATTTCTCTGGCATTCAGATATTGAAGTATTTTTGTTTATTCTTCTATAAATTCTGATAGTGTCTCCCTTAGTTAATATTTCAAGCACTCAGCTGTTTCCTGCATTCAGAAGTGTTCAGGTCTGATCAGGCTAATCCAGTGATATGTGCAGACCAGAGTTAGTGGGTGTAATATTTGTGTTAATTTAATTCTCTGTCAGTTACAAATACGGACATAAATTTGTCCCTAGTGTATTTGCCAGTTTTATGAGGGAAAAAACTAACCCCACTACTTAAAAAGGTTAGTACATGTGGTAGAACTATAATGTACTAGCATTTGAAGAATGGTTTGGAGTTGGAAAGATCGAGCCTGCTGTGCTGTCTACTAACCTTTCAACAATTGTTTTTCTTTAGCATCAGTGGATTAGGCAGAAATATCATCCTGACTACAATGCCAGCAGGAACGAAACTGATTGCTGGGAACAAGCCTGTGAGTTTTCTGACTGCACAGCAACTACAGCAGCTGCAGCAGCAAGGCCAAGCAACGCAAGTAAGCGCACTTGGATCATTCTGTTTGCTTTTTCTTGAACTTAACATCTCCATGATGCCTTTGCACCGCATGCATGGGATTGCAGAAAAAGAACAGGCACACCACTTGGTTTTAGTGTCTGCATTAAGCACAAGGAATCCATCATCACCTTTATCTTTTCTCCATCCAAATTTTTGAAGCACTGCCAGTATAATGAATGTAAAACCAAAAATCCTGCCAGGGTTTTTCTATACACTCAGCAGTCTTTGTATAGTGCTTTGTACTTTGGCTTCTGTGGATCACTTTTTTCTTGAAGAAATCACATAATTGCTTTGCATATCCATCTTTCTGTGTGGAAAGTTAGTGTTCCATAATTCCAAAGAATTAATCTGSCTTGACAGCTGAGAGTAACAAGTCTGTAGAAGTGAGGTATCCAATGGATCCAAGTCCTTCTTCTGAAAAGGTGTAAAAGCAGCTGACATAACAGGTTTTTATTCAAACTAGTTTTCAGGTCTTCCTCTCTAATTTGGAAATCTCCTGCCACCATCCTGCATGGGCAGTGGCTGGAATGATCTTCTTGTGACAGATTCTGTTCCGGGAGTGTTTTTGGTGCTTGGCCTTTTTCCTTTAACTGAGTTTTTGTTGGCAGCAGAAGCAGGTACTTAACTAGAGGACAATGCAGGTGCAGTCGTTATGTTGCCAGGTTGTTTTTGAGACAAGTTTTTTCTTTCTGYTTCACACAGGTACGAATTCAAACAGTTCCAGCCTCCCATCTCCAGCAGGGAACAGTCTCTGGCTCTACTAAAGCAGTGTCCACTGTGGTTGTGACAACAGCTCCATCTCCAAAACAGACCCAGGATCAGCTGTGAAKACTTGTTTGATCATGGATTTCTGAGAACTTCCCTGAGCCTGTTGTCATCCTCCATCCAACCAACCACCTGAGGCTGCCTAACCCTAGCCATGGACTGGATTCTGCCCTTGCTTCACCAGGGTCAGCACTGTGACGTCTGGGTACAAAATCCACAGAAAAAAAATCATGCTGTACCTGTAATATAAAACGTGTCAGCCCAGATGTGTAAATCCAGGTTCTKTGGAATTGATAATTTAAGAAATGTCTTCCTGGTTTTTGTTCTCTTTCCATCCAAAGGACTTTTGGCAAATACAGTTTCTATGCATTTCGGRTTATAGACCAAGCAGTTATCCTGGATCTTCCTTAAGCAGGGAAAGTTGCTGGGAAGGGGTAATTCAGTGGCTTTTCAAAGTCATGGAGAAGATGTSTCCTTTTACTGGAGTCTGGATGTCACTACTGTTACCTGGTGACTCAGGATGGTGTCTTGGACACTGGAGTTTATTGTAACTCAGGATGGATGTAGAGCCCTAGTAGTTGAGAGTACTATTTATGGAATTTTTTAACACCTCTCCCTTCTCTGAGCTCAGACCCTGAACAGATCCCACATCCATGTCCGGTTGCTGTGAAAGACAGAGTGAAAGTCAGGGTGKTTTTTTCTGCTGTAACAGAGTGAGTAATCATGGGGGAGAGGGAGAGGAGACACAGAAAGTCATTGTGTGAACAAGTCTGTCAGCAAATGGGACTGTAGTGGAAAGCAAAAAGTTGATGTTCACCAGAAAGATCCTTTTTCATCAAAAAATAAACCTCTTAATCAGTGGAAACAAATTGTACCTTGGTTTAAAAGATTGGAATATGTTTTCAAATACACCCAAACTGTTGTCTCTTGGATTTTGAAGAAATACTTTAACCCACGACCCTGGCCCTTAGTTTTGTTTTTACTTTTGCAGTTTTATCTGTCTATGTAAATATTTTTCAATTTTGCACATACTGAAGATGAATTTGTGACTGTTCTGACATAACCTTGAAACTGAATGAGATGAAAAGATGTGTTGGACCAGGAGAAGAATAAAAGTGTAGAAAGTCTTACAGATCTCTACCATCTCCTTTCAGTTTTCTACAGCATGTTTTGTGTAAAATCACTGTCCAGATTGCCAAGGGCTAACAGCCTGTCCATCTTCATAGTAAGGTGGTTCTTTTTAACCTGTTTTCTTTTTGGTAGATTTTCTCTTTTTTTTTTTTAATTTAAAGATATGATTTGCTCTAAGTTATATATTCTAGAATATAATACATTTAAAGAGCCAAATTGTACAGTTCAGGACTGTTATGGCTGGAGCTCTGTGCATGTTACTCTTTTGCTGGGCTTCAGGCTGGGGCTGTGGATCTTTCTGTACTGTATCTAACCCTCTTCAGAGCAGCTTTGAAGGAAAGCAGGTATTTCAGTAAGAAAAGAAGTAGCTGGATGTGAATATTGAGTTAGTAGGACACATCAGTTCAGCATTTGAAAGCAATTGCTTGAATTATGGTTTATATGCTTCAGGAACAATTTGGAGTGATAAAGGTTTTCTGTCCTGCTTTATCAGGTTTGTACCTGTTTTGTTCATTCATCAATCAGGAACCAGCAGAAAGATTGTGGTTTGGGAGGGAACATTCCCAAGCCCTTTTAGTGGCCAAGTTAAAAGAAGAAATTAAAGACGCAATAAGCAACTTCCTGCTACTGCTTATATGAAAGAGCCTCCAAATTCAAAACATAATCAAGATAATCCTGCTRCATTCTGTTCATAATAAATTAATAATTAACCTACAATCAAGTGCTGAAAGAGGGTTACATTGTGAAGATCCATCAATTCTCATTAATTTCTTGCTGGACACAGGAGGCTTTGGCAGTATTAAACAAGAAACGTGCATCTAATCCCAGGAGTTTAGTGTGTCTCARGTGGTTGCTGCTGATTTGAAGAATCTTGCTGTTGATCACCAACCTGCTTTTGAGCAACCTTTGCATCCTGGCTGCTTCTCTTAGGTCCCTTCTCTTTTATTTTGAAGTCTGATTTTTGATGAAAAGAGCATCAGGCACTGGGTGGGCTTCTGATTTTGAATGGCCATGTGGTGGTTTGGGTAGGACATGTTTACTCCCAGCTTTCAAGAACAAAGTACAGCCTGTTACAGTTCAGCTGCCACCTATCTGATTAGCTGCTCCACTCTGGTTGAAAAATAACCCCTAAGTTACGGCAAGTCAAGAGCCCTTGCTTTTAATAAGTAACTTTTAATTTCTACACACCAGTCAGAAGGGCAGAGAGGGACTCCAGTGGTTTTGTGGGTAGTGCTGGGACTGAGGGAGGGTATTGATAAACAAGACTGTGTCCCAGGGGGTGTCTGCTCCCATGTCCTCTCACTTTGCAGCCTGAAAGCTGTTCYGGGTGAGCCCTGCAGTTAAGAGCTGCAAGGGCAGCATGCAGAGGGAAGAGGGCCTAGAGAAAGTATTTATACTGACATTACCCATTTTTTACCTGTCCTGCCTGAAACTAAAGGGGCATTCAGGCTAATGATCTTTCCTATTAGCTTTTTCAATGAAAAAATTAAGTACAGCCCATTTTTGTCACAGTGAGATGCTCACCGGTTATCAAAGAGCCTTTTTATCACCTAAAAAACTGGATTAGGAGTTTATTTCCACCAAGAGAACATTGTGCAAACCCTGCTTACAAAAACTGGGCACGCTACACTAACAGCCACAGGCCATTTAAAAYCTTTCTAACCTTTATTTTAACAACTGCTTTGTTTTATTTAAATCATGGGGGAAATCTGTATTTATATACCTCAGTAGGATGCCCTCATAACCCAGTGAACTCACCTTGAGGTTATCTCAGGTGTATTTTTCAAAAGAATCATTAATTGGACATATTTTACCAGTTGATCTTCATTTTCCAAATACCTTTGRTAACAGTGGCATTGTTTATAGTAAATGCAAAAACCTTGTTACTTATTTTTCACGTGGCAAACCTGAACCACATCACAATAGACCCAATTAATGTGCCTGCCACAAGTTGGGTACGTGGTGCCTGAGCTCGGGACCCTTCTGGCTGGGTGCTGTTCATCCTGTAGGATGGCAGTCTAGAATTTAGATTTTGCCCTACAGCCTAAACACTAAACACAGCAGTTTATTGCAGAGCTGTCGGGAAGTGAGAATGTGCTGCTGGGTCCACACTGGCAACTGGCTCCAATGGTTTAATGGTTTAATCCTGCAGTTACTCCCTCTGCAATTGAGTCATCTCAATCTGACATTTATTGGATCCTAGTTAYGTGGATAGACCAGATGTGTGTAGATCCAGAGGTGGTAGGCTGGAATAATCTCTCTTAACCTGTGCTTTGAATTTCTCTGTATATAAATCTGAGTTTCTCACCCCAAGATTGCATTTGCAGCTGCTGATCCCTCCAGAGGACAATTCATTAGCCCTCTCTCCTCTTCCTGTAGGGTGAATCACCCTCTGAATAGAGCCATTTGGTCTTGTGGACTATAAAGGGAATTCTGCATGAGTAGTGCAAATTTGGGCTATTAATGATTTAATTTAGGGATGACGGGTTATGTCAAGTGACCGGTTCAGTGTGGATTAGTTCATTTGGGCCTGGGTTAATCTTGTACACAGCATCCTGCATTGAGGCCTGAAAGCTGAAACTCAATCAGAGGTCAGTATTTTAAGAACCAATTTGTTTCTTTATGTCTGCAAGTGCTCACCAATCCACTTCGGTGAGCCTTGCACCCTGTATTTCCTAACATTACTTTTTCTCACTCTCCTCCAGTTTGCAACACCTGAAGCAAAATAAGTCACCTACCAGAGCCAAAATCCTTGAAGCAGAAGCGTTGCTGGTCCTTCATCGCTCCAGGAGCAGGTGGTTTCACAATGACACTTAGAGAAAGTGGCAACCAAATCCTGGAGGAGCATCAATAAGTGGCTGTGCTGACACACAGCAAGGCCATCAGGGCCTGGAAAATAAAAAAAAGCAAACCTGCTGGAGGGCACGGTGTTCTCCCTGTGTGCTGATACTGCTTAAAGAGTTAAGAAGGACCTGCAAAGGTGCTGGCATTGTTTGGAACTTGGTGAGTGGCTTTAATATGTTTATGTGTCATTCTGAAGCAATTTCTTGAAAAAACGGAATTTTTTTCAGTTTATGCCCGGGGGAAGTAATGGCTGCTTGGTATTTACAAGACATGCATACAAAAATATGCTTCTATATACAGAAAAATATGCTTCTATATACAGAAAAATATGCCTGATTACTCAAAAAGGAAAAAAAAAAAAAGCAAAGCAATTTACACTGAGGACTTTTAAACTGCTTAAGCAAAGGGCTTGTAAGTCAGCCTGTTGTGCAAATTGTTCTTGTGTACTCAATTATACARTGAAATTATGAATATGAGACAGTCACAAGCCCTCAAGTCACTGCAGCTTTATGAGTTATTGACCTCCCTTTATACTGCTTTGTTTGTGTAAGGAAGTAAGTTCTGTTTCATGGCTGGGATGGCCTGAGTACCTTAATGACAATCAGTAACTTGGTAAGCTGAGTTTTTGCCTCTGTCAGTGTTTCTGTACTTCCAGTTTAGGATGGTCTCTGAAATGGTTGTGAAGGGGTTTTAAAGCTGGTGCTGGTGCAAAGGCTGTTATCTATCCTGTCATTTTTATCGTTGCAATCTCATATGCAGCCTCTGTACCTCACCAAAAATCCTAAACTTAGCTGGGCTGTTGCTCCAACCTGTGCTTGGACAGCTGGGAGGAGGGAAGGTGTCAATGTGCAAAGCTGAGTATTTCCCAAAAAGCCCAAGTACTTCCTTGGCACAAAATTAACACCCTATTCCTTTAAAGGGCAACAGGAAAGTTTAGTGTTTGTTTTCAAACAGTTGTAACCAGGAGAGCTCCCAGTCAGAAGGATGAGTCCTTTGTAATTATAATTACAAAGCTGAGYTAGGCTGGTTGATAGGATTTATTGTTTTCTTATTTTTCAACTTGTGTTGTGGAGGCGATTTAAAGAGATGTGGGCAGGGTRAAAGGGCACAGTTTCCTGTTCAGTTAGCTGAGGCACTTCTTCTAGTGGGAAGGAAACTTCCAATGTGTCCATGCACCTTGATTTTAACAGTTTTGTCAAGAATTACACAGTTTGCATTAAGACTGTATTTAATCCCTGCTTATGTTTTTTCTGCTTTTTATGCTCTAAGTCAAGCATCATAGAGAAAAACAATGGGTGGGAAAGGTGGTCCCAGTTCATAGATTCTCCAAGGGAAGTGCTCTTTTCTCTCAGGAGTTGAGATGGATTGCAAGGTGAGACAGGTTTCCCAACATCTTCCTGTCACCTGGTGGAAGGAATCCGAGGGCTGTMCTTCAGCCTTTGGGAGTCAGCAACAAATATTTGAACTTCAGAGAATTCTCAGTTCACTAATTTTTCATGCAGTGAGAGAGCTGTAGTTTGGATGTTACAAAAACTCAAAAGACACCTTAATGCTAGAACAGATTGTTGTGAGAGAAGTGGAGTTTCCAGAAAAATATTATACTCAGAGATGCTGCTTTTTGGGGTGGAAGATGGACTAGAGCATGATCCAGCCAGCATGGAGTTGTAGGACCATCCGGAAGAGCACTGATTGATTCTCACCTCTGCCAGACTGAGATCTAGGGGGAGTTCACAGCCGATTGTCTGCTTTAAGTGAGCACATCAGCAGCATGTGCAGTGTCACCATACCCCGGGACAGCTGGAACATCAGGCAGTTCATTGAAAGACAGCAGGAGCTGGAACATGAAACGGCAAAAAAACCCTCCTTATGTACCACATCCCTGGTCCTCTGCGCTAACAAAGTGAAGCAAACAAGGGGAATTAGTGTAAAGTCCAAGCTGCATGCTTTGTCCTTGGTTGTAAACGCCGACACAAAGTCTGAACTTGCGGAAAATAAGGCAGGTGAGCTGGGACAGCTCTGCCTGTTTGTCATAAACCCAAAAGAAATGGGCAATTACAGCGCATTGTCTGCATCTCCCTGCCCTAAGCTAAGGCCTCAGTTTACACATTCGCAGCTCGTTAGAAGGCAGACTTTGCTGACTTGGAGCCTTGGGCGTGCCCGGTGGTTTCAAAACACAGTGCCAGAAACCAGGCGGTCAGGCCTGTCCACTCTTGCATTTACAGTCTGGCTGTCAAACACTGCTGCTGATGATTCAGAGCTCACAAAAGAGGTGCTCTGCTTTCTTGAACCATCGAAGAGCTCAAGAAGGAGACCTGGATCTCTATAGTCCCAGTAGCAAGCTCMCATCCTAGTGTTTCCTAGTACTTTGGGAGCCCTGTGACTGACAGGCTGCTGGCACCAGAAGCAGAGGCACGGGAAACAACCTCCTGGATTTTGGCAGCGAATCTCAGAGCTGTCTGGAGTGTGTTAGACGGCTGAGGTGCTTGTTGCACACTGTCACATCCTTTGCYGGCTCTCATGCCCATGTCCCCAGGATGGAGCAGGGCACTAGAGGCSTTGGTTCTGTCCAGCTTTCATGATCTCAGGACGGCAAAACTACTTCTRAGCCTGCCAAAATCATGTTTAGGGAGCAGGGCACTCATTGCCGAGTTAGTGAGAGAAGCATTTGAGATCAAAGGAGGAGCTCCCATCCAAATGACACAGTAATCCTTAAACAGCTTTGGGGAGTGCCACCTCCCTGCTCTGCCCCAAAGTAGYGTGTGGCCAATTGAGGGTAACACACTGCACTTTTACAGCTCCCATTCTCCAGTCAGTAATTATTCCCTTGTATTGCAGACTGAGAGGCTGGATCAGCCCAAAATGACTGYGCCCATCCCCAGCGATACCCAGCCTTTGCTGTGGGGTCTGCCTGTTCAGCTGGAAAGCACCGCGCTGCTGGATGACGTTTTCCTCTCCTCCCACTGAATCAGTCTTTTATTTACTCTTTGGAATGCAAAGTAACAGGACACCCTGTGAGTTTTATCTCTCTCCCAATCTTTTGTAATGCTTTGGAAGTTGCCGGACCGGATTGAGCATTTGAGATGGGCWGGTTTCGTGGTTGCCCGGCTGGAATCTGGGTGGGAGGGCACTGTCGGTGAAATTTGAATTTGAGAGACACGYTGAGAGCATTTGAGCCACACTACCGGGAGGAAAAGCCTCTGTCCCTGACTAAATCCGGCCCGTCGCTGGTGTGGATGACTGGAGCTCCTTTGCTAGAATTTCTGGGAACTRCCTCCACCAGAAGACTTTTTCCCCGCAGGCAGACGCCTTCATTCCTTATGTAAGCAGTTCTTCCCTTCTTTCACGTGCATGGCATTCCCAGGGCTGGCAGCTGATGCGGAAGGATCCTGCCTGCCCAGACAGTGTTTGCTGCTCCTACAGCTGATCCTTGTCTGGGGTTCGAGCTTAGGGCGATTTACYTCTTGCAACTCGCACAGATTCTGACCAAGCCGGACTTGGTTCTCAGATTTCAAGGCCCTCCTTCCTCCCAAACCTGGGCTCTCTTCTCGGGCTGCTCTTGTGGCTGCACTGAGACAAGGCGAGGAGGAGCTGACCGCTTTTACTGGATAAAGTGATCCCAGCGGAAACAGAGTCTTTACGGCTGACTGCTGCCACTGCATGTGGGTGAGTGCCTTGAACTTAATGCTTTATTACGCTTTCACAATTCCTCGGCTGGGTTCAGGATCCTTCAGTCAGACTGGAAGGACACATGGAAGTCTCTCACCAAAAAAGCACGTGGTAGACAGGTTGGGAGTTGCCACTGGATGTTTGGGGCTGTACAGCGCCCAGGAGGGAACCTGCTCCTACCACGGCAATGGCTACAGCACAGMCACGAAGGAAATCCCTGTGTTCCAGCAATAGAGAAACGGAAATCCTGAATTTAGACCTCGAGCTGCCTCCCAGCTATATAATATTTACATTTAGCACGTGTACTGCTTGCTGGTTTCCCCTACGGTGACTGTGTCCCCTTATTCAAAGAGGGCTCATGAATTAGTCTGTAAAATGTCAGTGGCTTGCATGGCAGGAGCATTTGTGAGCATTTACAGCTCTGTGTCGAACCAGGGGTTGTGGATCTTTGCGTTTTACCCTCATTATCCAAATCCCTGAGCACCGATGTTTGCCTGGCACCAGACTGGAGGAGATCAGCGGATGCCGAACAGGAAAAGTGTGTAGGATGCAGGAGCAGTGGTTCACTGGGACCCAGCTGCTTTGTACCCGAAACGTACTGTTTCACGGGGGTGGTGAGAGAGGCTGCAGCCAGGCAGGTAAGGGAGTGGCTGTAAAAACAGCTCTGAGCAGGGCTGGGCATCAACGAGAGGGCTGAGAGCTCCTGACATCAGCAGCCTGACTAACCCGGCATCTTTTCGAGGGGAATACCTTAAATCCAGGGATGCGCCCTGCTGTGCCGTGTTCAATGGTGGGTGGGATTCTGGCAGCTGCTGAGGGGGCAGGGAAGGCGGTGGCTGATGTGTTTCTACAAGAGCRCAGAAGTTACTTTTTTTTCACAACAGGAGGATCAGAGACCTCACCCCGTCTCTCTTCCCCCC